TTTAATCAATGTGTTCTCCTTTATCAATGCAGTGGAAACTGTATGGTGATTAGCCAATATCAGGAGAGTTTATATCATCAGGTGAGATGATGAAATAAACTATCGTCACTTGCTTGAGAAAGGAATCATGTTCTAGTTAACTTTATACAGTGAGAAAATGTATCTCCCAAGGGCACAAAGAAAATGTACATGGGAACTTCCTCATCTACTCTCTACTCAAAAAAAAAAAAGTAACACTTTGCATTCCTTAATGTTTTATTATAGCACATCAGTTATGTCTTGAAAACACAAAGGCTAAGCTCTTTTTGGGTTTGGTTTAATCAATTTGTGGATAATAAGTAGCTAATGGATTATGGACAAACATATTAGATATATTTTTGATATAGCACTAATTTATAGAACTGATTTTTCATTCATTCATTCATTCATTCATTCATTTGTTGTCTGCTCCAGGCTGGTGCTAGAACTGACAACCTATAATGACAGAACGGCATGTTAAGTGTGACAAAATCAATAGAGCTCACACGGTCTGAGAACTCAGCAGAGGACAACGAGCAGTGCCTTACGAAGGTGCTCAGAGAAGGCTCTAGGCAGGCAAACACAAAGGGTCACTACGTTTCCCCAACAGAACCAAACACAGGGATGGTGGGAATCCTGACCTCATCTCGTGAGACCCTTTCTATCCTAGAAAGTATTTCATCAAGTTCTGCAGATTCATAATAGGTTTGTAGACTCTGCTTGCCACTGATCTGAGATTATTTTCAAAAAGGCTTGTGTGTCTAGGGACGCAAACTCTGTACTAGAGGCAGGACCAGAAAATGGGCCTTGTAGGTCTGGCATATTCCAAAACATCGTCTAGTGATGGTGCACTTGGCCAGGGACTCCTTTGGACAGTAATGAAGGTTGCACACTGAACAATACTGAGGGACACTATTCCTAATACAGACGTTATTAGAAATGTGTATTCCTCATGTCGGAAAGTGGAAGTCCAGGGTCTGGTTCAAATCAAAGCAGTATATTAGGACAATTTTTTGACAGATGGAATGAACGTATCTTGAGAGGCTGCCTTTTTTCTAATTCAGACAAAAGTGTGTTGGCTGCCGGTTGCTCTGGTTTTTGTGACCCTAATATGACCCTTGCCTCTGCCAGGAAATAGAGAGGAAGGGAATAACCTCAGGGAGTGGTCTCCACTATCATTTAAGCACACTTATCCTGCAGCGTTGCCCCATAGGACATGCGTAGGACAGAGGGTGACAGTCCTGGAGGATCAGAGGAGGTGAGAAGAATAGTGGTGGAAAAAACTGCACAGGATGACTTTTCCCTGTGTCACCTGCCCTTGGTGTCTTCCCTCAAGGTGAGAGTTCTAGAGTCCGTGACTCCTTTGCTGGAAACTTCAGGGCTTCCTTTCCACTAATTCACTTCTTTGGTACCTCCAGCAGCAAATCAGGCAGAACAATCAAACATAGGGTATGACTTTACATGCCTCAAAACAGGGGCTCTTTCTCATTTATTGTTTCAACCTGATGACAGCCTAGCACAGGGTTTATAGTGTTTAGTTTAATGTAGATACAAAAAACCAAACAACAAACAAACAAAAAACAACTGTGGTCGGGAAACATGAATGAATACAATTATTCAGCAAAATGAATTTTTTGAATAACCAGTTGATTTCATTTATTCCTGACTTCACTGAAACTAATATTATAAAGCCAACAATAAGGGAACATTGGATTACACAAGGCCAGTCATTTTCTCAGCTCTGCTATACTTCTTTTCCCAAGAAATGACAAGAAGTAGCAGCACGTGCCAAAGAGAATTTCATTTTAGGAATGATTGGGGAAAGTGATTTTTCAATTAGAAAGGAAAAGAAAACAAAACCTTTTATTCAAAGAAATCAAACAATGAAGGGGCTGTTATTTATATTTATAAAACATCATAAGAGTAAGAGTGGCAGAAGTCGAAGTACAAACCAAAGAAAGTCACCTCTGTGCTGGGTAATCTGAAAACTTCCTAAAGCAGACAGTCACTGAAGGAACTCTCTTACCTTATAATTATTCATGATTTCAGTTAACCATGGCTTAACCGACTTTAGTGCATCTTCTCGCAAGTACTTTTCAACTTTGGATCCATCATTAAAAGTCCGGTTTCCCACATGGATAGCTTGTCTCACTTCTGGGAGGGACAGAAATTTCCCAAAGTAACTATGGTCCTCAGGTTCCTGGCAGAAGGGGACATCGGAAAGATATTAGGCACAGGATTACGTGGCAGGACAGCCAAACCTTGGGCAAAGCTTCAAATTTCTCATAATATAACATAGATGTGATATGACTATTATGTCTCCACCCAGAAGAATTTAACTTGTGGGTTTTGAGGTAATTTAAATTTTAATAACTACAAATATGGATGATCTGATACTCTCAGAGTCAACATCCAATTTGCAAATGCTGGATTTGCCTTTTTGGCATCTAATCTTTTGCAATCTGTGACTCCAATTAATAACCCCATTGGAGGCAAAGATAGGGAAAACAAAAGAGGTGAGATTATCAAAATCAATTTGCTCCTTGTTGGAGGAGCTAAGATCTACGATCTACAGAAAGATCAAATGACCCCACGGGGCCAAGGTGATGGAATGGCGGGTTACAAGCTGAGGATTTCTTTTCCATGTTCTGTTTATTAAAACAACACACACAAAACGATCAGGTGACCATACTTTAAGGGGGAAAATACAGAGTGTAAAAACAGATGATACTCTATGAAGGACATAAGACAAAAGAGAAGTTATCCATGAGTCTTATTTTATATAAAAAAATACTGTAATATTCATTATACTAAAAGTTACAAAAGAATAAAAATACTGTGAGAGTTTGAGATCAACAATTTTGTGCATCATCAACAAGTTTTGCTAACTGTGAATATATTACTTTGAAAATCTAGTCAGAAATTTTGTTTCTCTCCTGATACCATATGTTTTTCTCTTGGTAAAATCTAAATCCAAAACCACAAGGCTGGTAGATTCCATTGAAATTCACTTTATACTGTATTTATAACATAGTTCATAAATAAGGCAATTTTACAAACAGAATGCATTGTCATATGCACTAGACAAAGATTATAAAACCCAAATCACCACTTTGGTTCACTTTGTCTTCTTTGATTAATTCTACACAAAAGACATCAACTTTGGCCTACTTTTATGAAAGAAACTACTTGAATACTTTGAGAAATACTCCAGAGAGCTCGAAGTGAGGCCCATGCTAAATGCATGAAACATCTTAAGTTAAAAAGTAAGACAAAGCAAATATTTTCACAAAGGCTTTGGCAGTTTTGATTATCCAAGCTGTCTTAAGTACAGAACAAATAATGTGAGAATTTTTAAGAAACTCACTACAGTCTTGGAACTCTGGGATCTGATACCCAGAACTGCAATCCTGGCTTCAATCCTTCACAAAAGAACTTCTGTATAACAAGCTCTGTTAGGGGGAAATTGTGTTCATCAGAGACTGCTTTGAGTTATCTGGAATAATACACATTCTCAATGGTCAGATTATAATGTACACAGCATTGGTGGTGGGGGTGGGGAGGGAATCCTATAGATTAGTAGACCAAATAGTGAAATATATATAGTTTGGGCATATTTGTCTAATATAAAGTCAGCTATATTTCTCAAATCAAAGAAAGTTTGGTGTTGCCAAAAGTTTTAAGCAACTACTATCATGGTTTTTTTAAATGTCATTACCGTGCACTGTAAAATGTTATAGTAATTGGAGCATCCTGTGACATTCTGGAAGTAAGAAGGGTCTCTTATTAAGTCACCATCTAGCAGTTTATCCAATACCTAGGTCCAGAGAGAGGGGAGAAAGGAAGAAGGAAAACATCAGGGTGAGCAAGAATACACAGGCATCTGTCATACCATTTATTCAATAACTTTTTCATTCTATCATTGTTTCATTCACCAACCACTTATTGCACATCTTCTCTGGGCTAGACACCGTCTTAGGCAACGGGGAAACAGTAGTGAATAAGAGAGACTCAAAGCCCTCCCTCACGGAGCTTACATTCCAGGGGGACAATAAACAAGCACCACTAGGTAAAACATGCCGTATGTTAGAGAGTGATAAGTGCAAAGGAGAAAACCAAAAAGGGGAAGGGTAATCAGAAGCATCCTGGGTGCCTGTGGACATATTGTGTGTGAGCGTATTGGGCATCTGCTTGCTAAATCCTGAATCCACAGGACTATGTCAGCCCAGAGGAGGTGTCTTTTTCTAATTTGTGCACCCAGAGGGGACACTGTAGGCTTGCAGTAATTCTGAATGCATGCACCATTTTTGGAATTTGTCTTTAGAAATTGTCTTTAACACCAATGGGAATATAAATTCAACCTTTAAGAGTGGATTTGATTTTCAGAAACAGTCAAAAGTCATTTGCTGTCAAACAAATAAGGTGTGTGTGTGTAGGGGGGGGGGGGGGGGAGGGTCAAGACCTGTGAAATCCAGTTTCTGGTCAAAACTTGTTTCACAAAGAGAACTCTGTGATCCAGAATATTGTCATGTTAAGGGAGGCAATACACTACCAGACATGGGCCGTTGTGCTTCTTGCAGAAGCTCTAAGAAGTCCCAGGATTTTTACAGAATGCCTGAAAATTACCACAGGAGAAATACTGGATTGGAAATGGGGGTACAATCCTAGCCTGACGCCTGCCACAATCTGTTATGTGGCTTTTGGGGGCTGATGGCTCTCCTTTGGGCCTTACCGTCCTCATCAGTGAAATGTGAATGTGTACGTGCGTGTCAGGAGAGAAGAGCTCTGAAGTTCCCTCCAGCTCTGAGTTACTGCTCTTTCATTAACTGAACCATTTTAAGGGATCACGGCACCAAACAGGCTTCTTTATTGGGGCCTGAGATGCTGACTTTGGTTTTCTCATAGGTTTCAGGATTTCTTGGGAGTCTTCCATGGCAGACGTTGAAATGCATTTGACCACGGCTTGCCGACTTTCCTAAGTACTGTTTTATCTATATTCCTTGAAAAAGCAAAGCTCTTTGTTTTCATTTGCCACTCAAGATATTGGACCAGTGGTTAGAGAGACATTGCGTACCTTCAAGGGTATTTTTGGGTTTTTCTCTTTGTTTGTTTTCTGATGAATCTGGTTTGGGAGAGACCCTATTTAACCTCATGGGCAACCTTCTCATTATCTCTGAATACACAAAATGCCTGAACGTTTCAAGAGTGTCACTAAATCCTATAGCTGCTGCCTCACACACCACAGACATCTTTCTGCTTTCTTTATCCCTTTGGGACTATGAAATATTCTTGCTCTTGCCATTGCTTAATCCCGTATCCTTCTTCAAAAGCACATCAAATCTCTCACTTACAGATTGGTCTCATGCAGTGTAAAATTTGATCTGAATTCTAAATTCTAAAGGTTTAGTCCTTTTTAAATCCTTTCTGTCTACCACAGCAGGTAGCCTAAAACCAGTCTTGAAAGTACAGTCATTGCGAGTTGAAATGATTCTCCATGTCCCCCGATAAGATTCCTCTTCCTTCACATTTACAATTGCACAAGAAATTCTGAATCCACACTCTGCCGCCACAGCAGGTATCCTCACACAGAGAAAAGGGAGCCCGCTGGCGTCCTGGGGGTGGCTCAGGACTTCCTGAACTCAATCCAGCTGCACAGCTGGCTGCTATGCTCTCAGAATTCATAGCAGGAGCAGTTCCTGCCAGGGGGCTATCAGGTAGGGCCCTGGCACCCACTCTACAATGGAGCATAACTTACAGTACCCCCCTTCTCCCTAAGTTTGCATGTCTCCTGTTTTGATTCGAACCAGCTGACTTGCGGTGCCTAGAAGACTATTAATATCGGGCCTCAGTCTTAAAAACAATAATGTGTTAGGTAAAGTATTACAGGATGTGTTTTCAATAACAAAAAGATCAAAGTCCTCAAGATTCAATCTTTGTCAAACATGATGGCTCTATGGTAAGGGTGGCAATAACCCCCTACGGGAGATTGTTTACACATGATCTTTGCACTGGCAAACGCAAACACACACACACACACACACACACACACACACANACGGGAGATTGTTTACACATGATCTTTGCACTGGCAAACGCAAACACACACACACACACACACACACACACACACACACACACACACAAAACCCAACCTCCTGTATTCTAATATTTAGTGTAGTCTTACATTTTAAATAACAACACAAACAAAGGGTGAAGACTACAACCATATTACTTGAGTCTCTATTTCAATTTTAGAGGAGCAATGTGACAATATTTACAAATACCAATGGCTCTTTGTAAAAGTTTCAAATTACTACCCTTTACCATCTTTGTTCCTGACACGCAGGACCACGGGACATTTGCTACACACTGTGGTGGCTTCTCCAGCTGAAACCCTGTGTGTGGTGGACAGTGCCCTTCCGGAGGGTTTAGAGCATGTGTGGAAGCACATGTATCCACTTTCTGGGCTGCTTTTCTTCTGATTTCCTTATGATATAGGGTGTGCCCTTAGGGCCTACCCAGCACTTAAAGAAATCAAAACAGTACACGGAAGGCACAGTTAGATAAGCACCCTGACGTGATCTCAGTTTGAAAATACAGCTGAAGTACGTTCAGAGAAACCCAGGCAGCTCTTTTTTTCTTTCGGAGCCATGCACCTTGCCTCCTGCTCTTGGGCAGTGTGACCAATACACCTTCTCTACCAGCAACAAATGCCTGAGCACCGGGTGCCTCGAGGACCCTCCTCAGATGGTTCTCATTGCTCCAGAGCAGCACAGGCCCCAGAACTCACTTCAAAGGCTGAAAGCCACTTCTCCTCCTTGATGTATTTCACACACTCATCGCACTGCTTCTGGAAGTACTTTCTCTGCTTCTCATCCAACAAGCCAATCTGGTACAGGAATGTGGCGTAGCCCTCTATGATCTGAAGAGAAAGGAGACAAACACAAATGCCATGGGGCGAGAGAGGGAAGTTAGGGGAGCCCATGGTGTGGTGACATAGCCCTCTGTGATTTGTCAGTCCCGTGCTGGAATTTGTCAAAGAAGACAATTACACACACACACACACACACACACACACACACACACACAATCCACACACACACCACATATAACAAAACACACAATACAAACACAACACATGCAAACATATACACACACCACATACCATATACATATATACAACACACATAAACGCATTACACACGTACCACATACCACACACTTACACACACAATATAGATACATAATGCATACACACACCATACACATACACACACTGCACAAACATACACATCACATATACACAGAAAACATAAACAGACAACACACACCACCTAACATACACAAACATACACACTCCACACACATATACACATATGCAATCCTACACGTGCCCTCACAGTTAACCTAGGCTGACGAAGTAAGTTGACCCCTTAAAACATTTGGTAAAAATTAGAAGATTGAAATGATTAGAAAGTCTACTGGGCAGCTGTATTTCCCTTTATTGGGTTAGGTCTCTAAGGTAAGAGGAGACTCCACTCTCTCACAGGGGGTTTCTTCTCCTTAAGGGACAAAATGGAGATGAAAAGGAGACACCTACCGACTCAGGATCAGAATATGCATCTCCAAGAGCAATTCCTTTCAGGTTAATCTTCACCGACAGCATGGGGTTGAGCGTGTGAATATAGTATGCGATGGCCGGCACATACTTCCCTGCGTAAGACTGAGAAAGGCAGAGGTTACGGGGAGTCATCACACATGTGTGCCAGAAAATGATGTGTTTCAGCTAATTGGAACAACACTCAAACAGCAGTATCTCCACAGGAGACAGGCCGTGTCTTTCTTCACCTCGCACTGGAAATTCCATGATAGCAAAAAGCTCTAATTTCACTCCTTTTGGCATCCCAAGTAGCACCACGTGACATGCAAGTCACAGGTTAGGTGCACAAAAAATAATAAGTGAACATTCTTATTTCCTTCAACAACAACAACAACAACAACAATAGAACACGTACCAGTGAACACAATTCTGCCACCCATAGGGCTTTTCTTACCAGAAAGTGCCACGAAAAGCATTATTTAAAAAGAAAACAAAAATTTCAAGGGCAAAAACTACGATTTCAAAATCTGTATGATGATACCAATTTTGAAAACATGCCTTGAAGGAAGAGGAAAAGGGAAATAATATTTATTGGCCACTAAAACCGTCACTTGAGCTTACCTCTGTTTCCAACCTTTCCCAGCACGAGCTTCTTTATCAAAAAATACCAAAAAATTTTGTGGACACAACCATCATTAACAATGACTCAGCTTTTAGATTATGCTGGAAAAGCCACTATTTGTTCAGTATAGTTAAAAATCATTTTGTACTTTTTCCACTAAAAAGTTGCCTTCTTGACATCTCCACTGGTACATTTAATGTTAAACTTCCTATGTCCAAAATGAAGTTCCCATCCCCAAGTCCTCCTTGCAGCCTCTGTTCTTCTAACTGGTTAGGCCAAAAATCTTGGTGCCATTCTTGATCGCTCTCATACCCCACAAAAGTCCATCAGTGAATTTTGTCAGCTTAACCTATTCTATCACCTATGTCCAGAATCCAGTGTTTCCTCACATCCTGCTTCATCACCTTGCTCCAGGTACGATCATCTCTCACCTGGATTATTGCAGCAGCCTCCTAACTGGCCCCCTGCTTTCTTCACCCTTACCCTCATCCAGTCACTTTTCAAGACAGTGACCTGGTAAACCACAAATCAGATCATGCCACTCTTAGTTCAAACCCTCTAATGACTTCCTATCTCCCTTAGAGTAAAAATAAAGTGCTTTTTCTGAGACAGAAGGGCTGACAAGATCTGGTCACTTCACTAACGTTATTCCTGACTGCCCTCGTGCTCAGTCCTCTCCGGCCCCTCTCGGACCATAACTGTGATCCGTACTGGTCTTCCCACCAGGACCTTTGCTTTAGCTCCTCCCACCTCCTGGAATGCTCTCCCCTGGCTCTCCCTCACTTCCTAAAGGGAAGCCCTCTAAGGGATGCTTTCCCTGGCCACACTATCTACAATTTTCATACTTCTTTTTTTTTTTGACATTTTCTATGCCCCTTCTCTCCTTTTTCCATCTTAATCCTCATCACTCTCCAATAAACATTTCTTATCTTGAATTGTTATTCCCCTGCCCAGACTAGAAGATCCATGAACACAGGGACATCTGTCTGTTTTTGTTTATGAGTGTGTTCCCTGCGTGTGATACTGTTTATTTGTTAATGCTCAATAAACAGTTGTTGAATGAATGAATCTTGAATTAACCAACATGTATTTGAAAAACAGCAATGCATATATGTTCAAAATAGACTACAGGCATTATGTGGGTACACCTGAGTCTATAGACATTTTGCAACATTTCCAAGGCTCTCTAGAGGTGTGTAGTTCAAAACTGGGAACCTCCAAGAGCACTCATTTATTCCATACCATAATCATATGCTGAAGATATCATTATTCCCATTGTACTATGAAGACATTGGGGCTCAGAGAGGTTACGTGGTAGAGCCAGAATTAAACTTGGTTTGACCCATTCCAAAACAAAACTCCTTCCAAGTCATGATAAAAAAGGCAATTTACATAATTTATACAAAATCTCCTAACTCATGCAGCTCTCGTGTGCAATAATAATTATTTAGGCAAAGTACTGAATCAAAGCAATTTATCTATTCATACTCATGAACACATTTTAGCTTTCATGTGATAATACAAAGATGTGTTTACATGTCTGAAATTTGGTTTGTTGCATAATTGTGCTATATGTTCTTTCATTAGGCACAATAAGGGAACATTTATCAAATAAAAGTTCTGTAAGATGACCCCAAAAAGCAAATTTCCTTGAGTAATCATTTTACTGGTAAAGATGTATTACATAATCTTCATTCCGTGTTGGTTTATTGGGCCACTCTCCTGTCAAAGGCATTATGATAAATACTTGAGGAAACACAAAAATGAATAAAGCACAAAACTTATAAAGTTCACAATTTCTTTTGAAAATACATTCTGGAAAACTCGACTCAGATGTGCTAAGGCAAAGTTTACCATTTCATAGATTATTATGCCCACAATATGTATACTGCCCAGCACATAGTAGGTATATAAAAATATATTTGATAAATGGATGACTTATCTGACAGTACTTCTAAACATTTTTTCCCTGCTGGAAATTAGTACTCATGCTAAAATGTATATCTCCCAGTGATAGCAGTCAAGTTTCTTGTTATAAAACCTGGCAAATAAAACACGTCTCCTTTTTTTTTTTTTTTCCTGAGATGGAAGGGTATGTACTTTAAGTTGCTATATAGGTAGTGATGACAAACTTAAGCAAAAGCAGCCACATATTTATGGCACCTTCACCCCGTGAGCATCATGTGTATCTGGGATATTTCCAGGCAGGAAATGAAGAAGAAACACCCACTCAATTTCAGAGCATCTACTATGAATCAGGCTATTCCACCTACTTTCATCTGAGCCAATTTAAGGTCAACATTATTTTCCTGTGTTTTAAAATGATGAAAACATGGGCCTATGCATCTCAGTCACATGCCTAGCTGGAAATCTATCTAGGCTCGGCTGCCTCCATACCTCCCATTTCTCACATCAAATCATATTTCAGTCCATAGTCCTGGAATAGACTATGGGTTTCTGGTCCCCTAAGCTGGGGTCCAGCCTTGGGTTTTTCCACTACACGTGTGCTAAGCGGACCATTTATGGAAAACAAGACACTAAGATGAGTAGCTGTTAGCAACATCCTAAACAGATTCCTCAATGTTCAGGGCCACATTTGCTAACCCAACAATGATGATGTTTACCTCACTCTTTGCTTTCTAATGACTATCACGCACTTCCTTGCCTGTGTCAGCATGACAAAGCCTTCACCGCCATTTTCATTAATCATTCCAATGGTTGAGTGACTCAGGCTGTTGTTACACAATAGACAATTATAGGATTATTTTATGGAAAACAGACACTGAAACATTATAGTGAAATTTCAATTATTTTCGCTTTCCTTGTTGACACGTATTTCTTTTTTCTTTTTATGCAAGTTCAGACTTGTTTATTCTTCCTCAATCATTTGTTTCTCAGTTTTATGATTCTCAGACCACCACAAACATGTTAAAAGACAATCAGACAATAAATCAAGTATGTTTTATTTTACCCAATTTTCCCTTTTCTGGATATGTTTTAAATAGAATAGAACCCCTTATTTGGGGGTAAGGGGGAGAATTTATGTGTGCTTATGTGATGGATCAGAAATGGACTAAATGGCCCCGAAGGACTTACAACTGTGATCCTGTAATTTTATGAACTCTTGCTTCTTTTGTTCTGAAGTCTGCCCGTAACAAGCACAAATGTAGCCACCACCACAAGCGTCCGCCCTGCGGTTCCTCTGATCTCTCACCGGTGTTCATCAATGTGGGCAGCAGCTGGCCAGTGGAGTTCCTGAAGTCTGTGAATTAACACTAACCTCCTACCATCGGATCAGACCCTGGCCTCATAAAAACTCAGAACAGCATCACAGCAATTGTAAAAGGAAGGGAGAAAAGCATGGCCATGTACTATTTTAGAATTCGGCAATGACCTTCAAATGAGGACCTCAGCCATATAAACATATCTATCTAACACAATCATTCAAACCTGGTTAGCCAGCCATACATCAGGATTTTAGCCTACCCTTATTACTCCTTTCTAATATGTAAAGAAGCTTCAGGCTGCAATTTCCAGCATAGTTCTTGTTTGGTTCATTTTCCCATGGTGATCATATTTTGAGATCGCCTCTGACAAGAAGAGATATTGGAGTGTGTTTGCATCTGCTTGTAGTTGCTGGAGCTTAGAGAAGCCATAAAACTCCAGTTTTCCTTCTTCTATCAGAAGATCTCAAACTTCAGCTCTCAATCTTTTATTTCCCCCATGAGAGAAAAAGGTCTCAACATCACAGTTGCACAGTGGTTTTGAATCCTGGTCTGCAATCTTTCTGAGTTCTTAAATGATGCTTGGAACAGCCTAATGGAAATCACATTAAGAGCATATTGTACTTGTAAAAATAGTCTAGAGAGAATGTAATGCTTGGTTAATTATCCAGATGTGTAAAAGCACAATGAAATTGGACTTCAGGAAACTTGTAATCGTGTATTCTGTCTGAATCTCTCCTTTCTTACACGTTTCAACAATATTCATAGCAAACTTACTGTACCCCGGCCACCCGGTGACTTTTAAGGAAGGAAAAAGGATTTCGTATCTAAAATCAAGCTTCAATCAGCTCCTCCCGGAGGAAAAAAAAATGGTGTCAGAGAATAATACTATAATGGAAACAATGTCCTCTTACAGAAATTTCACATATGTTAGCAGTTACTGTTGTTTAAGCTTCTCTCAGTGGTCTACATTTCTTACTAAAGTTTAGTTTAAAAAAAATGCAGTTATTTTCATTCTCTGCCATACTTCTAAGTATACATTTTATGGTGAAACATGCAGAAACTTTATGGGTGATAATGAGCAATGGGCTTTGAAATGAGACACACCTAAACCCAGACACCAAGTGTTACTATCCACAGGCCCTAATTCCTAACCTCGGCCTGGCAAGTGCGGAAGGGGGCGTTGTCCACTTCCATCGGGCACGTTGAGGACGGTCAGGGTCATTCTGTGTCCTTTTGCCTCCTCTACCTCCACTCCCTCAGCCGCTCTGGCTGGA